TACGATGTCCAACAAGAGTTGATTGGCAGCCATCAGTTCCCTATGCTGCCAGAGCAACGTATTCCCCATGATTCTTTGAGTCAAAACCCACGTCTGGGGCCTGAAGTCCTCATCAAGAACTCTTACATACCAAGGCGAGGAGGCAGCCATCAGCTCCCTATTTCGCCCAAGCAAAGCGGTGTCCATGAATTGTCATCGGACACCACACAATCAGTTTTCATTGCGGCTGGGATGTGTACCAAGTACACGGGCAGGGGCGCTTTGCAGCAGTTGGCTTCATGTGAAAGGCCACGGCGTTTTTTACATAACAAGGATACCTCATTGCCTTGTTATGTAAAAAATCATGATGATGATGATGATGATGAAAGGCCACGGCAGATGAGTTGAAACCCATATAATACCCAGATGATAGATTTAGTTTGTATTTCTCAATAGATTCCAATGAACCAATCACCGACTCTGCTTTGCTCAGGCAAAATAGGAAGCTGACGGCTACCTCATTGCCTTGTTCTGTAAAAAACCATGATGATGATGATGATGAAACCCATATTGCACGCCACCTTTCGCATGGAGCCAAGTGCGTCAGGTCAATTGACCGCGGCACCTGTGCATGCAGAGAGGCCCTTGTCTGCGGCCATTGTCGTCGCCACGCCGGCCGCCCCGACCCTTCTGTGCCATATGGATCGAAGCGGAGGGAGCGGGCAATCCTGGCAGCAAGCACAGCCCGAGCAACAAGGCAAGGGGCATGCCGCCACGCCCTTCGCACTGACCCATGGTTGACCTGGTCACCGAATGTGTTTCATCATCATCATCATCAGCATCATCATCGTTATTTACAGAACAAGGCGGTGAAGTAGCCGTCAGCTTCCTATGAAGGTGTTTCCTATCAAGCTTCCTTCGAATGTGTTTCCGAGCGTTGCAATGCTCTGGCAAACAATAAAAGGGTCGATTTAGGAAATGTTGCGGAGAGGAGGGGAAGCAGCCAAAGAATATCACCATTCAATTTCGCATGACAAGGCAAGGAGGCTTCCCTTCTTGCCCAAGCAAGCCAGTGTCCAAGATCCGTTCATTGACATCTAATGCACGCAACAAACAAAGTCCAGAAACCCATCAACGCCTATTCCCAAGAACATCAATGATCCACCGACTGTGTGTGCACCACCTTCTGTGGGCCACACGGGGTGGCTTGCCTCGCCTTTTGCGCCCCATGTTGATCGAATGTCTCTGCTGTCAACCAGGGCGCTCTTCCTCGCCCACACCGAAGAGCTTCCGGGACCGAGGCCCGGTGAGCTTGCGGCTGTGCCTCGCCAGCTGGCCCCGCTGCAAGCGGCCAAGTGCGCATTGGGCGCAGGGCCCTTCGGCGATGCTGATGATGGCCCGGGAACGGCGCTGCCGCAGGTGTGGCGCCGAGTGGGATGGAGGAGGCGACAGAAACCGGGTCAAGGATCCGGCACAGCGGCTGCAGAATCGGCGCCGGTCGTCGTGAACGAAGGTAATGTTTGTGTTATGCATTAGATTTCAATGAACTGATCATGGACAATGCTTTGCTTGGGCAAAATTGGAAGTTGGCAGCTACCCTCTTTGCCTTGCTGTGTTTATCTGAACGGTGATGAACGAAGGTAATGAGGACATGGCGAAGCAGAAAGGACGGCTGGAAGGGCATGCAAGGATAAGGCAGCGCCTCTCCCCACCTGATGGAGACCAGAATCCGCGCCAGCGCATGCCACTGCGTTCACTTTCTCTGCAGATGCTCGGTCGAGTTGACAGATCGAGATGCGACATGCCCTCACTCTGCATTGCAGCGGAGCCATCATTACATATCCTGTGTATCATGGTACAGGTCATTGCAACGCAGTCACGGCAGTCATCTCACGTTCGCAAGCTTTTCAAGCTGTTGAATTTTCGTGCAATGAAGAGCTCGCGTTCCTGCAGGGCAATTGTCAATTTACATGCCCTCATGGCTGGTGACTGCTGAGTGCTTTCCAATAGGCCCAGGAAACCCGGCCCACTGCCAGCGATACAAGGGCAACGTTTACGTGTTGCATCACTGCCACACACACTCGTATTCCGGGCGACAATCCCACGCGCACAGGTACGGTGTCCCCACCTGATGCGGGGCAGACCCTGCCAGCGATCTCGAATGGCCTCAAGCGCATGGAATGGAGAAGGCTTGATAAAACACACATTTTGAGACTTCGAGCAGCGGCAGCCGAATTTGGCTGTCGCGTGTCGGTGTACGCATTTGAATGTCTGCCTTATGTGCTGATTTCAAGGACGGTGCTTCACATGCCATGGGTGCCAGGCATGAGGGGCATTCCACCCGCGCAATTGAACATCAGGGGATTCTGTGGAGACCTGGATGTGAGTGAGGTTATCCCCACCCAGGCTCGTCACCATGCTTGCCAAGTCGATCTGCAAACTGTGTGAATCCGAACATGTCCCAATGGCTGGACAGAGGGTCAACCTTGGTCACCACAGTTTCTGAAGTGCAAATTTACAATGTCCACGCACCTTATTCATGGACCCCTTCCCTCCCCCCACCCCACCCCCACCTTGGTTGACCTGTTGCGAGCAAATGCCACCAAAATGGACCTCACTTTCAGCCACTAAAGAGCTCCCCTCGAGCCATCCCTCACAAACGTGAATGCTTGCCCTGGTTCTTTCCCACCACGTCCAATTGCTCAATTCCTGTCCCTCAGGAGCAGCTTGCCACTGTTCACGACACTTTAGTCACAGCACAAGCCGAGCTCCGCCCCCTCAAAGAAGACCAAGGGCAAGACACGATCGAGTGGAGCTCAATCCACAAAAGGAGAGAGTTGAATTCCAAGTGAGCAGCACCACGTGTGTGCAATGCAGTCACAGCAACATAGGGATGTGATTTCGCCAAGCTGGAGGAATAGCATCCTCACTAACCATTTCAAGCAATTGTGACGCTGCATTCGCTCCATCCTCCACAACAAAATTCTTAAATTCCTCCCCACTTGCTGACTTACAGATGACAAAAACCCAACCCCATGCTAGAAATTCTAAATTCAGTGGGGTAGGATCCTTCCAAACACTACCACTACCCCTTATGCAGCAGTGACATAGCCCAAATGACATGTCTTGGAGCATGTTGGCATCCCCATTTCGACAGGCTCCTCATTCTGCCGCTAGTCCAACCTTCCACCTTATGGCTTGCGCATGTGCCTACTCCGTGCTGTATGGTGAGCAGCATCGTGAAGCAAGTGGACTTCTTCACGTCCTGCATGGCGGCATGGAGCGAGTATGGGCATGGGCAGCATGGAGAAGACTACCTTTCTTTGCCACAAAAATGAACCGAACAGAGGGGTGAATATTTGTGACACATCATGTCGTGTCTGGTCAGAGCCAAGGTGGAAGTCTTTATTAGCAAAACGGTACTGCAATCAGACCCGTTGACACTGGGAGCCAGTGCTGCCAACACAGGCAGAGCCACAGGCTAATGTGCATGATTTGGAGACCAGTTCCGAACAACTCTGGTGGCAACAGCGACCACAACCACAAGTTCACAGTGTGCCATCGCATGCTGTTCAACAATTTCGCTTGCCAAAGAAAGGGCATCCCACAGCCACCCAGGCGGCCAAAAGCCAGCTGTTCTCAAGGGCTGGCACCCCCATGAGCCCGAATTTGAATAGCCGTGGTCCCTGCTTTGCCAAACTGCGGACTGGGTGGAGTCTCAAACAGCTCAAGTCCACTCCCCTCTGCACGACCTTCTGTGACAAGGCAGACACCACTTCACTGCAGCTTCCCCTCCTATTTCTGCCTTGAGAATTTCAGTGCTGAAATCACTTCTGCACGTTTGACGGTAGGTACTTGATCCCACAACGCCTGTCATTGTCATTGAAAGGAGCTGATCTATCGTTGTCTAAATGATGTCCGATGCTGGCCTGGCCTTAGTCAAGGAAAGGATGTCCACACTGTTCGCGTGCGCTTGAAAACAGACAGCTTGAATGCCTTGTGCCATCGAGAATGACTTGGGAAATGCACATGAAGATACCTTCGCCTCCACATGGCTGATGCAGCGATACACACGTCTGCCAGCTACGTGTGCCATTGGTGCTCCAAAAGAAAGCAATACGTGAATATGTCCCAGACTGTGGTGCCAGATATCTGCAGGTCATGCACTGCAAAGGACAAGACCTTCAACAGGGGAACGCCAGCACCTGAGCAAAAGCGACTACCTGCACAGTTTATTGAGAGCACTATGGCAGATACAGAAGGAGCCTACCTTCAGAGTTCAAATGTTCAAGCCTGATGTGCCTTCAGCACAGTGGTGTTCGATGTCTGTACACACATCAGCCAATAGGTGAATTTCAATTTGCCACACCAGTCCTTGTGTTCTGACCTTCAATCTCGATGTCCAGCCCCCAGCTTGCCACAAACTGCCATGCTGTTCCCGCACACAGCAACAACGCAGCACATACAACAGGTGCACACAACCCAGCACTGCACCCATAGAGCGCACATTCCATTTAGCCCACAGTACAACCAGCATCCATGTGCTGGTGCTGCACATTGATTAGCAATTTTCCAATCCATCCACAGGCAAGACGGCTGATGCATTGATAATTTGTGTCAGTGCTAGAAGAAATAATCAATCTGCAACTTTGTGCATTGGCTATGCTTATTAGTCGACTGTCAGTTGCCGTGTCGTACAAAATACTGAACAGCAGCACCAAGGATTCTTCAGCATGGTTCACACATGCTCAATGCCACGATCTCAAGCGGTTTCCAGGTAACATGACACAGCCTGTGATACACAAAATCCAGCCCAGCACAACACAACAAAGAACAAGGGCATAGTTATCTCTGAATGGTGCAATCATCTGCACAGCAGGGGACTTCTCCACCAATGCTGCAGGGCACAACGCTGGCCAGGTGTAGGAATCGGACTGTGGAGACACCACAACCAAATGTCCACATTTTTGTTGCTATGGGACATTTCCATTTTCCCCATACAGATGTGCACTCTACCTGGTCTATGGCTGCCTTCTGTGCTGCCTCAGCTTGTCCGCATGGCCAAAGGCACTGTTGTACCTGGCCCTGCATGCCACGCAACAGCATGAAAACTGAGAGGATACAACAAACATGTGCTGAACAGCAGTGCACAAGCCTCAGGCGATGTCCAGGGAGGATTGAGAGGCAGGGGATTCACTTCTCACTTTGTCCTAGGCATGGATACCTGCAGCACTGTTCTGTCAGTCTTTGACAAAGCTGTTTGACTAACATGACAGCATGTCAGTAACTCAGGGTAACACCAACTTCAGTGCACATCCGGATGTGTCTTCGTGTACCAGAACAGTTTCGAAGGAATATGGAGATCATCGAATCAACAAATGCACAGACATCCTTTGTAGTGGGTGGCAGGCAAGACAAACACCAGCAACTGCAACCACTGATGGTGTCACAGTTCAAACATCAGTTTTGCTTGGTGTGGTTAAACAGGGAAACAGAAGACCAGAATGTTTGCGTGCAGTCCCTTTGGAAGGCATGGACAATTGCATCGCAAATGTGCGGCATGTTGCCAGTCCACAATCTCATAGGGCATCCACTTCAACATAGATCTAAAAGTCAGTTGCCCAGCCGCCTTAAACAGCTTACCCCCCATCTGTGCGAGGGGTGGAGCTCAACAGGTTGCTGGCCCTCTGGCGTTCCACACGTTCACGTTCGACTCGCTCTGCCCTCAACTCCTCAATGGATTTCTTCTGGCAAGGCTGCATCATTGCTAGGGAGGCCTCCTTGACAACTCTGTGCTTCCTGTGTTTTCTTGATTTGGAATCTTTGGCCTCTATCATTGTTCTTTGTGGCCTTCCTTTTTCAAGTTCATTTGTGCTGTCAATACGCAGAAAGACCACATAGCCCCTGTCAGACATAGGTTACATAGGACATCATCTGCGATTCCAATTCATCAATTTTGCACACCTGAATTCCATTTCAGTCAACTTGCTTCTTTTGTTGACCTAGCTTCTGAGGACTGTTTGGACATTGTTTCAGGCAATCCTCACCTTGGTTGTTGGGATGGCAGTGGCCCCCTCTTGATGTACCAAGGCTGTGGTCACACAGCTCAACTCAGTCACATCGCAGTAAGCTTTGAAACGAAGGGGCACAAGCACAGTAAGCCACCCACTGACACAGCAGGAAGAATGGTCTCACCTCCTTGCCCACCAGTCCATACCCCAGTCGGAAGCGCTCATCAAAACGTGCATCACTTGTCCTATCTTCTTTCCGCCCACGTTTGCGTTCAGCTTGGAGTTCATCTTGCTGCAAGGAAAATTGGCAGTATGTCAGCTTTGGAACAGCTTCATTGATCAGGTTGTTACCCAGCCTAAAGGACGCCTCCCATGACATTCCACAGACTATGAACTGTGCCACATACAATACGGCTTTCACTGACCAACACCCTGCCTGGTTCAAAATTCACTGGACACACAGTTAATAGTGCAGAGCATTTTGGCAGCCTTACTGGATAGGATGGACTTCAGTGACAAGCAAGTGAGCTCAGCCGTAAAATGCAAGTAGATAGAAATTCAAATTCCAGGAATGCAACCTGATCACAGCGGCTAGTTTGACAAAGGGCACAGCACCATGCAGCTGTTGTTTATTCAACAAGCACCTGCAGCTACCAGTTGACACATCCAGTGCACAAAGTAGCTCTTCAATGGTTACACTCTCCAAAGAAACGATCAATCACAGCCCTTTCATGTGGTGATGCCCCAGTTCATAGTTTCTTGTCAACAAACATCATCAGCAACAAAACAGGGAAAGCCCAACATTTCCAGACTCAAACAGGTATTTTCTGGCGATGAATTGAAAGCCATGAGGGGTGGATCAGCAACTGCTTCTGACTTACCTCTGTTTGAGGATGCCTCCTTTTGTGTTCTATTCCCTCAAAGAGGTTGATGTGGGTGACGTCATGACTAGGCTCCTGAACAGCAACACAGAGCTCCCTCACGGGTTGTATTTCCACCCCTGAACCCCACCACAAGACCTAATTTCCCACCAAGTCTCACTAAGCAATGATGGATAGGGCAAGTACTCCAGTGTCTTGTGTCTGTTGTGTACCACTGCCGCAAACTGATCGACACATATCTACATAATAAATGGTGGCTTGCCACATGCTTTCTTTTGCTCTACGCCACAGGCTGCCGTCCAGCACCTGATGTTTGTTGGTGATAGGGTCACTTTCTAGGAGCTCAAGATATGTGAAGATATGTGGATCACAATAGTCAAACTTCAAGTGAGCTGATGCAAGAAGCCCTGGGAGAAGCAACGAATCCTACAAGAGGAAAGGTATCCAGTCGTATTTGTCCGAAGACCGCTTGCAACCAGAGGAGGATCATTTCTAACAGTTGGCACCCCCTTTTCAAAGATCCCCTACTTAACAAAGTATGGAGGGACATTGCGTTTTTGTTTGCGCAGACCTTCCCCTGCTACGATGGACAAAGCCTCCCAGCGCAAACACGACAGCACACACCTCTCACGTGCATTTTGGTAAGCGTGTGGAGCTTCGAGACATACACTCAGCGCCTTCTGGCGCACGACAGCCAGCAGAGGGCTTCCAGTAATCTAGCTCGACGGCAAAACCACTGTAGCGGACGTTCCATAAGGAGTGTGGCTGGCTCCTTGTCGCGTGGACGGAAGGACACGGCGCACTGGCCAACTGGCGAGCACAGGTCTTACCTCCACGGCCGAACCTGCCGCCTTCTTCAGCAACGCATTCCTTCGGAATTCGTTATCCGCAGCCTTGCGCTTTCCGCGCCGCTTCCGTTCCTCCCTCCTCTCCTTCTCCTCGGCTTCTAAGACCTTCAGCCGGTTCTTGCGGCCGTACACTGCGCACAAAAGCGTTGATTGAACCGGCTGCGCCATTCGTCAAACAAAGCCACTGCGCGGCGCAGCACAGAGGCCTCCCTACCGTTCCAACTCTTCTGGGGAAGTATGTTCAAACCACCGTGGCCACCCATTGTGCCGAGGCCACGCGGGAGTGTGTCCCACAGGGGGGAACTTGAGGGATTGCCGCCTGCAGGCGTACCCAGCTGCAAAAATGCAAGCACACACAACACCAAATTTAAAGCTGTTTGGGTGTCCATGATGCCTGCTGAATGGCTGTGTTGGGAAATGAAAGGAATGACGTCCTCAATCAAGGAACTTTAGAATTATATAGCCACGACAATAACACCTCCTTAACCGTCTGCACTTCAACAAGCTGGGCGTCAACGTGGCACCAACCCGCCCGGCCATGCATTCGGATGTGCAACCCTGGTGGACCACCAGTTGTTGGGTCGGCCTTTCTAACAGAAAAGAAGTTGGAAATCGTTTTCTTTGTCTTGAAAAGCAACTCTTGAAGACTTCAATTTGGACCCACACCTGAAATAGAAGGCAGTAAGGAATTTTTGCCATTGCCATTCCTCTGCATCCCATGAGGATCCTCTACATCCTTTTTAATATGGTTGCCTTTCCGATGTGCATATATCGTTTTCATTATATTAATTGGGTGCCTGAAACCACCAAAACATATGCCCAAAGCTTTGTTTGCTACCATCCTTCAAAAACCAAGAGTGCACGTTGTGAGAAGATTTTCTCCCCCTTCCCCAAAATGTAGAATGTTGTGTTTAACAATATTATGAGCTTCATATGACCAGATGCGCTCTACCAAAAAGCTGCTCAATTGCTCTTCATGCATAAGTTTCTAAAAAATTGTAAGCACCATGCGGCAAATTGCCTCATGATGCAATTTACAAAAAATTTTATACTGAGTTTGGAAAACCAAATGGTACATGAATAACTTCTCTTGGTAATGGAAATTTTGAACATTGTAGAAGAAACTTTATGGAGGGAACAATGCTACATGCTTGGGTGCCGTTGTGAAATGGCTGCTTTAAGATTAGGCTCAATTAGCGTTTTATAAAGTGCTAATTAATAATCTTTATAAATTCTCCTCTGGTGAGGTTATTTAAACAAGCTTCTAAACTTAGAAGCTCTTGATGCTCTAGGCTTTTCAAATGCCCAAATCTGCTAAGAATTGACAAAGTTGTGACATGGCTGCTTGGGGTTTAGGTTTAGTTGACATCTTTTGGAGTGGGAATTAGTAATCTTGGAAAATCGCACCTCTTGTGGGCTTATTTAGGAGCTCTTAATACTCCTAGGCTTTTGAAACGCTCAAATCCATTAAGAATTGGTGGAGTTATGGCCCTGCAAAGTTGTTGTGCTTAGGGCTGTTGACGGAAGAGGGCTAGTACTTAAGCCGAAGGAGAAAAGCGTCGGTCGTGGGTGAAGTGGGGATGGTGGCAATGTGCCTGGATGCGCACCTATATCATCTTGTCATGATGCAATAGCGACGGACCCGCAATCGGGCATCGCGCATGCGATAAGTGCACACGCATGCATGTAGTCAATTTGTGTAACACCGCTTTGGCCCATTCTCTTGCCTCCCATAAGCCAGCGAACCACCACCGCACTGCGCCACCACCTCTCGCTGACAGCAGGCCTTGGGGATCAATCCCCATTAACCATTGGACCCACCATGCGACTGCTGAATTGATTGCCTCGAATATGCCCACTGTCCAAGGTGGAGAGAGACGGCCAATACCTACCACCACCAAGTTGCAAGGCAGGGAGACCCTAGCACCTGCGGAAACTAGTAACAGCCAATGGGCCACAACAATGAAGCATTTACTTATTTTGACAACTTTGCATCACTTTCCAAGTGGGTTAAAGAAGGCACTATATCAAATTTGGGACTTTTAGTGTCAATTCGCATGGTTGTGGTACAACTATGTATAGGAGAACTAGATGGAGGAATTGATTGCAGCTTGCAAAAATGCTGAATTGGCAGGATTTTTGGATCACAGTGTTCACAAGGTGCACCTGAAGCCAATGGGTTGATTTAGTGATGGTTGCATAGTACACTCGCTAATACAAATGAAAGTTGGTTTTGGAGATGGCATCCATATTGTGAAGATGGCAGTGAGGCTCCTATGTGGGGGAGCTTTGCAACACATCTGGCTGGACAACATGCAAAAAATATCATATGCAACCTGCCTCATTCCAGTGTTCCTTCCCTTATATTGCTAGTTTGTTAAATCAAACTCCCTATTTGCATCAACAAACAATTCCATATTGCTTTATAGCCATCACATTGAAAGGATATCTTGTACTGATGGTTACCACAATCCTAGATATGAGGATTCTTTCTTCTTATGATACAGGTGGAACTCAACAATCGTAACACCAGTGCTAGAGCACTAGCTCTTGCAATCACTACAACGACCTTTTTGGCCATCATCATGGGAATCGCCTCATACAAGAAGTGAGGAATGATCTATCAGTAGTTCCAGCGGATAAAGCCCATTGACGCTATTAGCCTAGTTGGTATATGCAACATTCAAAGCAACATGATACTGCACATGTGCTTCCTGCAACAATATACCTAACATTACACGTTTGATGCAATTTTTGGGAATAGCCGTATTATATCATTTAAGTTTAGGCCCACATGATGATACTGACCACCCTACTTGCAATGCATGAATAGACCCTCCAGTAAGTTATAAAATAAAGAGGCAACAACCGTGTTGTGAATATTGATTGCAAAAAACAATAACATAATGTTTTATAGCCTAGGTTTGCGTGTTATGACATGGCACTCAAATGATAGCCACAAATATTGCGAGTGAATGGGCCACAGGCATGAACGGACTACCAGTTGCCTAGGCATGTATCACTCAGCATCACCTTCTTTCACTATTGCCCTGTGCATAGGCTAGCCTTACAAGTGGAAATTGGTAGTGAGGAATTCGCGCATTGTCCATAGTTCAGGAAGAATAATAGTGAAGGGCCCCTCAAAAATATTAGTGTATGGACATATGCAATGATTGATATGCTGGTGTTGGCGAATTATCTTTGTGGTGAGATGCATTGCATGCTATCTGCAGAAATGAAGCTGGCTCACAAGAGGTCTCCCTTGAATTTAGGTGTAGGAAGAATTTTGGTAAATGACCGCAGCTCTAAGTTCCACCGACCTACGAGCACTAAAACTAAAGTGTGTTGTGAGATTTTACTTTGGTATTGAGTCGGTAGGAAACAACTTTGTGTTTTGCTTTGATGCCACACACACACCACTGTTAGTTGACTTCCAAAGCAAATTGCTTGTTTGTCACCATCATGGAGATTTGCCGTAAAGCCACAACGAGTATCCAATGATTGTGTTTCATCTCCATGTTTAGAGCACGATGCTACATGAATTCGGCATTTTAGCATGGCTGATAGCTTATTATAGCTGAGATGGTAGGTAACAAGATAGGAGGAGCACCACTACGAAGAGGCTCTTTGGAAGACCGAAGAGGCTCTTCGGAGCTACAGACCATGGGCAATAGTAATTTACATGGGACCTAAGCTGCCAAGGGGGAACACGTGACACATCCAATGCACACAAGCAACCTCTCAAGTTCTACGATAGGGTGGGTAAGCTTAGTGAGATGTAGGTGATGTCGCCCGCTATGTATAGATGGTAGTGGGGAGGTATTGCTTACAGAAGATAGCAGCGATAAATGGGGGAAGCACTTGTGCTTTTGCTATAGGTCTATGCTATTTATGGGTAACATGATCGACCTAGGCAGGGAGAGATATGGAGTTTCTAGGAATGGCAGCACATTATCCTTATTAAGGAGTTCATGGGGCTCTCTTTTGTAAGATTGGGAGATTGTCCACAAGGGCACAAATATTGGGACTATGTTGTGCATCCTCGGTGGTAGGCTACTAGCATAATGCACTAGAATTACAACACAATGCCTATGTGGGTGGCAGATTTTGATCACCCGTAGGCACAACAGATAGGCTATATTCTACTATGTAGTCACCATCAAAGTTGATCATATTTCAATAAACCAAGGGCCGTGTTTGCATCATAAGTGTAGTTGGATCCTTGCGGTCATCAACCATGCATATGTTACTGAATAGCTTCCTTGGTTGTTGAGTTTGTGGTAAAGCAAGCACTTCTATTTGCAGTGGCGAAATGTGCACTTATGCAACAATATGCCCCTGCATGAGGTGACCCATATACGAAGTGTGTATCCCAAATGTGGACCCAAAGAAAAGCTCCTAACAATATTCCAAAACCATCGTGTGTTTGCCCAGTTAGGCTGATGAACCATAGTCCGACTTCTAGTATGTTCTATAGGATATGCCCCACCTAGATCCCAAGAAACAGGGATCCTATAGAAAGGACACAAACCGCTGCAATTCCAACAAGAAAAGTACACACTAGCTAGAAGTGACTAGGAACACAAACGGGTCTGGCAATCACTTCTATGACTGAAATCTAGTCACTGGATGTATTTGCTTAGTGATGTGGCGGTGCCCTCTCTGATGTCGAGCATGCTGGTTTCTCTCATAATTCTACAGAAAGCTTAATTGGCCCTTAATCTAGGTAATTTCCCTTGCTAAGCTGGCCAACTAGAGTGACTCGTCATATATGAATAAGACAAACGCTCGCCAACACAAATTACATATATTTTGCATAAATCCTGCAACCCTCGTGATCAGTATTAAACCATATGTGATGCGGGTCCCAGTAAGGACCACGCGGGGGTTGCATGCAAGAGAGCATGAAACCCAATGAGAGGCGTTACAGAGTGTGCTCCGTGCACACTTAACTTGTAAATCAGCGTGCAATCATGTATAATGAAATGTACAATATACAAATGTTAATGTACAGCTATTTTAATGTACTACTGGCCAGTGTAAGTGGCGCCACCAGCACCAATACATATATTATGTATATATGTACGTATATTGTATCAAACTATAATAGTTTAATACGGATCAATGTCAACAACGCATCAACAACCACTTTCCAAAGTTGAAATAACTGGTTGGTATTTATAAACACACCAATCCAATCTCCATTGTTTTCTATAGGAATATAAACACTGCCTAAGGATATTAGTAAGTTCTTAGTATACAC